ATATAAGAGAAATCAAGAGTTCAGTGAGTTACTTTCAACTAGAGATTTAGCGGCATATTGTCCGTCAATAACATGGATAATACTCCACAATCTAAGGAAGTAGCTATTGGATGTATCGAAATCGGCCCCCAAAACTTCCTTCAGTCAACTCAAGCAGTCCATCTGAAGAAGTTAACGGAAGCACAATGTAACACAGACTATTAAGCAAATGTATAACAATGATATCCACCGACCTAAATTCAAACACCAAAATAAGTAGGGCCACTGGGTAGGGTAAGGCCAAAATTATAGAGTTGATACAAGTAAGCAAGAGAGAAAATGTGTGTTTTTACTGGAGTCTAAAAACTATTAAGGATGTGATTTCTTTACTAGCCTTTTCAACTTGGTGGATAAAACTAGCTAGGAGAGATTAAAGGCATAATGGGAGAGGCTGCCATTTATGATAGCTTAATCTCGAATCCGGAACACTTTTAGGCATCCTTGGCAAAGTTATTGAATATGAACCAACCTTATAAGTGTTTCACAAATTCAAATAACTCGGCTACGATAGCATCATCGAATAAATCTTGTTGGCAAGTAAGTAAATAAAAGGAATTTTAACAGAAGGGTATGATGAAATGGTTGACATAATTTTTGAAGTAGAGCCGGCTTAAATTCAATCTATCTTTTTTACACTATTTATTTTCCCTTTTACTTCTCATGTACAGGTGGGCCAAATCAAGGCCTCTTATAATCATGCCGGATTAACTCGTTGTCTGGCAAGCGAGTTTTATTTCTTCCTCGAGCAAATAGAGGCATGCAACTATGCCGATCGTCCAGAATACGATCTTCTGCGTAGCCTTATCAAACAGGTGATGATACGCCACGAGATACGTGCCGATGACCCATTTGATTGGGAGCTCGAGCAGCCAAATAATCCCGAGCAACCCAACTCCATTACTGGGCGTACTGGTCAAGGAAAAATTGTCGGAAAGGTGAGTGTGTTTGTGATAGGCCGACAAATAAAAAAGGGGGAGGATTCTGTGGGACAAATGTAAGTCTACTCTTCCATCTATCATGAGCTGATAGACTGATGCCTAAAGGCACTTTTCGAACAATGTCATCTCTTTAATCTTATTAATTAAAATTTAGTAAGAGTGAAAGAGAGAAAGTTACATAAATAAATATTGGACATGAACCGAGATCTAAACATATCCTAAAAATCTCAAGTGCATTATAGTCGTTTAAAGTGGGTGACATCAAGCGACTTTCATTCAATATTTATAATTTGATTATTGTTTGAGAGGCCAACTTTTCTGAGCCTATATCCTATATTATTAGCTTCTGTCCAATCTAACAAATTGATTTACCCTTATTTCTTCGTCCCGCTTGGTTCCCGTTATAAGATATAGTTCCAAATCCAGACATCGTGCTTGATATTAATCTTAGTAATTCAGGAATACATGAACATATAATTCATGGGCAACTTGATTTATAAGCCAAGCTGGCATAATCATTAGTTTGGTTGCAGTCTTTCGCTGTATTATTTTGGATAGACATTGTTTTAGCAGTTTACTCATGTTTTAAGCAAGTCTGAAAGTCACGCCTCTTACTGCGTTCTATGATATGTTTATGTCTTTTCTTACTCCATCAACGGACTGTTGACGGTATATTCCGAATTCTACTAAATATTTTTTCGCTTTTCTTCTTGATCACTAACTTAAATTATCTAGTTGATTGTTTACTTATTTTTTATTGTTTTTCTACTTGATAAACATCCAGTTATTTATTTAAACAAAATTTTTATTCATGTACTTAGTTATCTGACTGTTTGGTTGCTTTTTGATCGAAATTGTTATTAGCCCATTTTATTAGCATTAATCTGATTAAATCCTTCTGCTTCAAATGAAGCTTTATCCTATAGTCCTACGATTAATTTAGCCATTACGAGATTTAAATATATTCTGACAACCTTCGAATTCTGAATGGAGATTGTTCCTAGCTCTCTGAAATCTATCACTTGGCCGAATTTTCAACGCTGTCTCTACCGCCTTTGTGCAACTAGACTAAGAGCGGATATAAAAGTTCTTTTGCTAGATTTATTTTTACCTCGGAGTATGGTTGAATTCTTTGTCACTTGCGTGGCGTGAGAAGACGGTTTGACTGCCCCGCTCTTTAAGTGCTGTATGTTGTGCCTTTGGCTTACGCTATGATGCAAAATATTGAATACCTTCCATCCTATTGCAAATAGACAGATTTTTTATAAGTCTGGCCATTGCCTTTTCACTCACTATGACCACTTAACTTGGCTTACAACTTCAAGTATTAGATTCCGCTAATGCTGTAGTGAGCAATGATGTTATCTTTTCTTCAGCCTCCCTTAGTATCATTGTATTAACGTTCTCCGAGAGATTTTCTTCCTTTTTCGACGGCAGTATTTCAGATTCGACAAGGTATAATATAGTATTATCCATGTTTTTATCTAAAATACGGCTACATCCTACTGTTAATGCTGATTTTCGATTTATATAGCTTCATGATCAGGAGATGTCATACCGTTGTATCTTGATGTATTCAATCTACATTTCTCTTAGTGTTGGTTTGACCTGGTTTTCGCAACTTGTTGGAGCGATAGGAAGACCTTATGGAATGTATCTAGTGCTGCGTCTGCCATAATATTGATGATGATTTCCAGAATCGAACCGTTGACTTGGTACATTTTCAGCCATTTTGCCGGCATTGTCAGTGAGAGGCGCCATCTTCAGCACAGACATACAACTCACCAAAGTGACAAATGAAGGCAATCTCTGAATATTTTTTTTGTTTAGCCGTTGTGGAATTATTTATCTCCCCTCTTCTTTATAGCTTCTAGTGCTGCATCTCCCCTCAACCTCATTTCATATCGTCCATTTATTCACACCATTCTATGTTCTCATTTCCTCCAATGTCGCATAAGAGTGTGTCACTTCAAGTGGATTTAGTGAAGCATAACCACCTTCAATGCCGGTGTCAGATATTGAAAGGGCTCCTGGTTTTCTACCTCGCTGGCCGGTTTTTCCCTGCTACACTTGAAAATCATTGTCTGGTTGCCTCTAAGTCTTTCAATCCTCTTTTACTTCATATTCGAGGTTTTAGAACCGGTGATTCTCATGCCTAGGCTTCAGACCCATGACCATATAAGGTGGAAAAGAAGATACCTAGGCATGAGAATCACTGGCACTTAAATCTTTGAATGTGCTGTAAACTGCTACCGAAATTGAAGACTCTTGGGCAGCCAGATTTCAAGCAGCCAAACTATGATTTTCATGTGTAGTAGGGAACAACTTGCAAGCGGGCTGAAGGAGAACTAAATGAAAGCCAGATTCCCTCCAAACGGCGATTACGATTTACTAAATCCACTTGAAGCGAGATTGGACGAAAAGAGAGCGCAGAATGGTTTGAATATGTAAATAAACGATATGAAATTGGATTGAGTGAAGTAGATGCAGCACTAGAAGCTAGGACAAAAAATAGGGTCGAGGATCGATGCCACAGCAATTGAATATAAATCAGTTAGGGGGTTTGCCTTTACTTCTCATTGGTAATTTTATAGTTTGTACTAAGGATGATGCCTCTAACTGACGATGTCAACTACGATGCTGATAACCATCATTAATATTATAACAGAAGACGCAGGACTAGGTAGGCTTTATAAGGTCTCCCTGTTTTTTCTCACCAAGTTGCGAAAACGAGGTCCAACTAACATTATAGAGCTAATGGAATCTCTCATCAAACGAAGGGTCCCACCATCTTCGCCTTCCTATCTACAATATATTTTTCCTAGTTTCAATTTTTTTCTTTTACCCCTCGATGTCGTTTTGATCTAAGCTAGCATTGAATGTGAATTCCTATAACATATGGCTTACTCCAGAGACTAATCTATTGAAAGCTTCACTTTCCTTCACATAATCTTTTCAAGCCTTGAAATTTAAACGTTTATCGTATTACAACTTATAGACTATCAATATACTTCCGATTCCGTTTCGAATCACTCCTTTTCTAATTCTACTAGATATAACCGTACCCTCTCCTATT